CATCCCGCCCCGCCCCCTTCTACAGTCCCTCCCACCCGTCCTTCCTCCCCCTTTTATCTCTCTTCCCCCTTCGGACGCGTGAGTTCTCTCACCTGGCTCTGCGCCCTCCCCACCCCGGCAGCAAGGAGTCCGTGGAGAACCGGGCTACCGGGGCCCCAGCGGGGATGCGGGCGCCCCCGGGGTACAGGGCTTCCCTGGGCCCCCAGGCCCTCGAGGACTGGCTGGAGACCGTGGCGTGCCAGGACAGCCCGGGAGACAGGGCGTGGAGGTGAGTTGGCCCCCCGCCCGGGAGGGGGAGTTTCCTGGATAGGAAATCCCTTCGGGGTGCTGCTTATGCCCCAAAGGCTGGGAGCTCCCAGAAGAAGCTGGCGTGCCTGAGGCTGGTTCCACGTTCCAGGTCAGAGAGGATGGGTGTGGGTGCAGCAGGAGGGATTTCGGTCAGATGTTGGAAACACCTCTGGGGAGAAACTGGGAGCAGGAGGGGTCACAGGGCATATAGGAGCAGCAGCCCTGGTAGCCAGGAGCTCCTTCCTGAGAGGCCTTCTCTGCTTCCAGGGCCGGGATGCCAGTGACCAGCACATTGTGGACGTGGTGCTGAAGATGCTGCAAGGTGAGGAGGGGAGGGGGCAGCAACCCCCTGCTCACAGCCTAGGTCAAGGCATCACTCCCCTTCAGGAGTCTCTCCGAGTGCCCTTTCTTCAGCATTGGGGTCCTAGGTGCACATTCCGGCTCTGCCTCTAAGGGCCTGGGGACCTTAGATACATCCCTGCCCTCGCTGGCCCTTTGACTTCAGCAAAATGGCATGAGAAAGGGGGTGGTTAAACACGGGGCTTTTCTGTCTGCACACTCAGAGGCCAGGGGCTGTCAGGATGCTCTGCCTTGCGGGTTTTCTGAGTTGGCATCCATGTCACAGACCTCTCTATCTCCCTTTCTTCCTCCAGAGCAACTGGCAGAGGTGGCTGTGAGTGCCAAGAGGGAAGCCCTGGGTGCAACCGGCATGATGGGTCTCCCAGGACCCCCTGGGCCTCCTGGGTACCCAGGTAAACAAGGACCTCATGGGCACCCTGGCCCTCGGGGCGTTCCTGGCATCGTGGGAGCCGTAGGTCAGATTGGCAACACGGGGCCCAAAGGTGAGTCCTGTTCCGTGGTGGGAGTGGAGGCCAGGCGATGGGATTTAGCCAAGGCCGGCCCCGGGGGTCTCAGGCGGGAAAACAGCCTCCTGTTTTCTCCTCTTTCATCATTCCCCTTCCCAGCACAAAATCTCCTGGGCTTTCTTTCTCAGTAGCAAATTGATGAAAATGAACATACTATTTTAAAACTTCGGGTTTTTGCGGGGGTTTTGTTTTAAATTTGCTTTATGGAACCCCATAAAATCTTTCCGTGTCTCTAGAAGTGGGGAGGCAGATGAACAAAACAGTAAAGCAGGCAGATCGAGAGTCAGAAGATGAGGATGAGTCCAGACTCGGCCACTTTCTCGTTGTGGCCCTTGGACAAGTTATCTGCTAATCTCCCTAGGCCTTAGATTTATCATAGATTTATAATTTTTTTTTTAAAGATTTTATTGGGGAATCAGGGAAGGGGAACAGACAAGTTGCTGTCCTTTTGTTCTTCAGTCTAGTTGTGGAGGACATNTGAGCTGTTGTTCAGCATCTTAGCTGTAGAGGGTGCAGTGTCACTGGCCCTCATATGTGGGATCCGAACCGGGGCCCTCTGGCGTCCCAAGCCAGTTCTTAACCATCGTGCCACTTGGCCGGCCAACACAAGGGCTTTTGCTGTGCTCCCCCACCCCAGGCTAGAGGACCTGCACTAAGTGTATGGGGCCTGGGTGAGCGGTACAGCCCTGGCCTGGGGGTGCTCTAGGTGCCAGTCAGGGCACTGCCACTGATTCCGGGAAGCTCCATTCTCCTCTCTGTACAGCGCAGTGAGGGTGAGGACTGGTTCTGTTCTGGGGTATGACTTCCCCAGATGACCAAGCTGACTGGGGCTGAGAATCCAGCAGACAGAGTTAGTTGTTCATTCTTTCATTCATTCCATAAACATTCACCAAATACCTGCAACTATGCTAAATGCTGAGATAGTCTATTCACACAGAGCTCACAGTTTAGTGGAAGAGGCAGACATTAAATAAATGATCACATCATGACTAATTATAATTGTGTTGGGTCCTATGAAGGAAAAGTAAAGAGACCTGAAGAAAAAAACAGAAGTGATGGAAGGCTTCCCTGATAAAGCGAATTAGCTGTGACTCAAGGATGGGTGGGCATTAGCTAGGTTTGGAAGTTAGGGATCCACCAGGCGTACTGCTTACCCCCAATTTCTCTGTTCCCCAGGGAGAGCCAGGGCCTCGAGGAGAAATCGGTCCCCGGGGCATCGCCGGGCAGAAGGTAAGTGCCTGGTACAGTGGTCCCTCCCTAGGGCCTCTCACAACTTTTGGCTCTGCTGGACCCTGGATCTGGGTCCTCAGTGGTTCCAGCACCTGCCCACCCTGCCCAGCCTTGTGCGAGGCCTCCCCAGCTTGGGCCTCAGTTTGTTGGTCTGTGAAGTGGAGCAAAGGACCTCCATGCTGGTGACAGCAGAAATGGAGGGCACCCTGACCATGTAGGGTCTGGCAGGGGGAGATTGCCCATGCTGATAGCCTGGGTGTGACCATCTCTTTCCATTTTAGGGTGACCAGGGTGAGAGGGGGCCAGTGGGGCCGCCAGGCCCTCAAGGACGGCAGGTAAGTGCCAGGCAACTTAGATGGGAAGGGGGTGCATGTCTGGGCACCTCATTTGATTTACTCTGGTTTCTTTTCCTCTCAGGGCCCCAAGGGGGAGCAGGGGCCCCCGGGAATTCCAGGGCCGCAAGGCTTGCCAGGCATCAAAGGAGACAAGGTACCAAATGGGGCTGGAAAATATCTGGGAAAGCGGACCTAAGACCCTGGGGAGTGCAGCTCAGATTCTTCCTGAGCTTCCAAATCTTCCCAGAAAAATTGCTCCCTGCGAGGTCCTGGGAGGCGTGGCCGGGAGCCGGGGCTGGGGAAAACTCACCAAGTCTGCGACTCCCTGCCTCCTCCAGGGCTTCCCAGGCAAGACGGGGCCCCGCGGCGGAGTGGTGAGTACCTGCGCCTCCACTTCCTTCGCCTCGAGGCGTCCCGAGCGTTGTGGGATGGGATGCGAGGTGTGGGCGTGGTGGTGTTCCAGCCTCAGAGCTGCACACCAGCGCTGCGCAGACTCACGGGTCTCCATTTTCAGGGCGACCCGGGGGTGGCCGGCCTCCCGGGAGAGAAAGGCGAGAAGGTGAGCAGGCTGCATGGGGGCGGCTGGGGAGGCGGCGGGCGGTCTTGGGGCCCCACCACTTGGTGACCACGCTTCCTTGTGCCTGCAGGGAGAGTCTGGAGAGCCAGGGCCCAAGGGACAGGTGAGTCCTGCCCCTGCGACACCGCCTTCCTCCTCCCCTGCCGACCCCCGCATAGCTCAGTGCTGCGGGAGGACTGCCAATCCCCAGCCCCATGGCCAGCAGCTTCTCCTCAGAGAGGTCACGCGCTCTGTTGCCCACCTCCCCACAGTGGCATGAGTGGCTGATGAAATCAAAATCCACACCTTGTCCCCACCCAGGGTCTCATCACTACCTCTGTGGCCTCTGGCCTGGCTTAGGCCTCATCTTTTGGCCACTCTAGTCCTCCATGTTGGCTAGGTAGAATCTGACCATTTCCATGCTACAGCACCTTCCAGGGCCCTCACTGCCTCCAGGAAAGTCACTCCGTCCAGTCAGCCAAGAAATAGTTACCGAGTACTCGAGGTCCACTGAGTGCCAGAGAAACAGTTCTAAACAGGACAGCTATAGTCCTTGCCCTCACAGCTCATCTTAGCATTCAAGGACCACCTCAATCCGATCAGCTTGCCACTGCTGCCTTTGTAGCCACTGCCCTTCATGCTTTCCCTTCTCAATACTGCCTTGGATTTTCTGCCCTCATGGCTTCAGGCCTTTGCCTACCCCTCTGCTTAGAATGCCCTTACCCATCTCTCTGTGCCTTCTCACCATTCAGGCCTGCCTCTGGACCACACCTTTTGGGAGCCCCGTCCATGGGAGCACATAACCCCTCCCCCCTCCCCACCACGCTCCCTGCTGGAGGGCCTGCTAACGTGCCCATGTGCAGACTTTGTATCTGTATGCACCCACGTGTCACGTGTGCCTATGAGAACACAGCGTGCTCCTCTTCTCTGCATGGACCACAGGCCCCTCTGTCCCCCATCCTCTCCCACTAGGGTTTGGGGGCTGGGCATCATCAAGTTCATGAGGCTATGTCTGGGCCTTCTGTTGTTCAGCTCCCACAAGGGGAAAAAGGATCTGGATTAGATTTGGGGGTAGAGGGGTGGGCGGTAAAGCACAGGTGCATGGGATTCCCCCATGCCAGGGCAGGAACTGATGTCAACTTCTTTCTACAGGGTGTGCCAGGCCAGCCTGGGACAAAAGGCGGCCCTGGGGACAAGGTGAGATAACCCCAAGTTGGAAGCAGTATGGCTTCATCTGAGCAAGGGAGCCTGGGGGCAGGGATCAGGGGTGTGTTGTAAAGACTCAGGCCTCACCCCAGGTTCAGCAGCTTGGCCTGGACACACCTCCTTCCTGCCTTCTGCCCCCTGCCCCTCATCCCAGCTCAGTGGAGACAGGATGGCATGGCTCCAAATTCAGAGGAGAAACAGACACAGGAAAATCAATGAAGTCCAGAGGACCTGACCAAGAACATCCTCTCCCTTCCCAAACTCATTTGGTTCCAAAGTCTGTTTAGGGTTCATTGGGTTCTCTAAGGCCAAGAGCCTGACTGGGCCACCCAGACTGACCTGAGACTTGTGTTTTTCTGTAGGGTGAGCCAGGCCAGCAGGGCTTCCCTGGATTCTCTGGTCCCCCTGGGAAGGAGGTAAGTGTTCCCTCCTTTGACACAAGGGCTTTTTTTTTTTTTTTTT